GGCAGCTCCTACACCCGACACCTCTGTGTGCATCACCGATCTCCGCCGTTCAAACCACCCCAGCTGTTTCCCGAGCGCAGACACAAACCAGCAGCAGAAACACGCTAGCACTGGGAGTCGCTAGGTCCCAGAAGAAATCGGTTCGCCTTCTGTAGCTGGGTGAAGAACAGGTTCTGGAAACACAAACACACACCACGGTGGAAAACAGTCCACAGAACCAAGGCGAGGGGGAAGCAAGACTACAGTCCACACACCGGGATTCCCCAGAAGTCAGTCAGCGGGCAGCAGCCAAGAGACGCTGCTCCTTCTGGCTCTGGAAGGCACTTTCCTTCTCTGCCACGCAGCACTACCCGAGGCATGTGGCCGATCACGGCTCCCTACTTCCTTTGAGCTGCAAGACTCGCTGTATTTCCCTCCTGCTACTGTCAGAGAAACAGGCAGAAGGTCACAGGAACTTAACCAAGGGACACAGTCACCCACTCCTGTCCTTTCTGAGGCTCCATATCAGGTTCTTTTCTGTATGAAACCCACACCGAGATGGGCACCTCCTCCCTACAAGGTCCAGAGCCACAGCAGTGTGATCTGAGCTGTCACGGTGCTCGAAAACCTGAGCAGAAGCCAGTACAGCACCATAAAATGAAGACGGCTTTTTGAGTCGCGTGTCTGCGCTAGAACCAAAGCCCCGCAGGAGGGAAAACTTAAAGTGTTCTCAAACGAGAGTCACAGTGGCAGAAGCTACTGGGAGCTACTTCGGAGTACGCCACCATGCAGGAGTCTGGTCTGCAAGAGGCATTTATTTACAACAGACGGACGAAGGAGACTCTGTACGTTAACAAAAAATCCAAGAACAGCTTCCCGTTATTGTCAAAGAAAAAACCCACCACAACCTGCACAGAAATGTCTGTGCTGTCATCTGAAATTACCATGCTGGAAAGAGGAAAAAAGGAAGAAGGAAAGTGGGCTGGAGATGAGGCAGAATTGCACGAAGCAACACAAGCCTTCGTATGCCGCCTCCCCCATGCTCCACACTGTGTTTTAGACAAGATCATCAATACTAACCTCATTTCCTTCAGTCCTTCAGCCTCTATGACCTGGAGAATCTGTTTTGGGGTCATAGGAGCATCAGAGTAATTTTCCAGCACCTGAAAAGACAGAAAGACCACGTGTCATTACAGAACTTGCTTCTGCATTCACAGACCTACTCCACGAGCTGCCGTTCAGATCCAGTAATACGCCTCTGAAAACTTTACTCATCTGCAAAAGACACACGCTAAAAATGTCAGGCTACCTCCAGGTTAGATCAGGCAAGGCTTACCTTAACCTGCTCCCTAATTAACTGAAACACAAGCACAAAGGAGAGAAAAAGCAGCAGAATTTGGCCTTGACCCCACAGCACGAAACCAGTGGAAGCTCTCCCGCCGACTTCAACACGCACCAGACCGAGCTGCTGCCACACACCACCCGCAGACTGCGCCGGGTTAGCGCCCTGTAACGACGTAAAACGCTCTCCCGGCCGTACGCCTTCCTGCCGCTCAGAAAAGCGCCCAGGTTTTTTCTGCCAATAAAAGTATTGCTGCACGACCGTGCGGCCCCGCGGCGTGCCTTCCTGGGGTTACCGCACTCGTTTCATCCTCGCTCCGTCTCCAGAAGTGTATCACGTGAAAGAGTCGGAGTTCTTGTCGGAGAAGGACAGAATTCAGGAAAGGACAATGGCGACAGTAAAGGATGTGGATAAAAATTATGGCTAGAGACACCAAACAGATTTGGACTGCTTGCCTTTGAAAGAAAATTAGTTAAATCGGATATTAAAAGGCAACACGACAAATAACAACTCATCCTTTCGTTATCCTGCGAAGCACAGAATTGCCACTTCTACGCCAAGAACCCAAAGGCTATTCCTAGTCCTTTGCTTTTTTTCTTTAAATCCTGTGGAACGTACTGCTCCCAAACGCCTAGAAGCCAGAGCTCGAGGATTCAAAAGGAGGACCGGACATTTCTGTGGATAAGAAGATTACCCACACAAACAGGAAACAATGAACAAAAATAAGCTGCAGTAGACGCAGACCACGGCGTTTCTTTGGGAGCAGATTACCCTACAGCTGCCCGACACACGCTGCCGGCCCGCGAGGCAGCCGGCCCCGCGCTCTGAATGCGAAAGACACTGAACCCAACCGACCTCCGGGTCCGACCGAGCGAAACCACCGCGACACGGGACAGGGCCTGCACCACCCCCCCAGAAAAGCAGCCGCGGGAATTCACCCGGGCACCTTTCGGTCGCAGCTGCGGTCTGGATTCCCCGGCCTCGCGGCCAGAACCACGGTCCCGATCTCGCTCGTCACCGCGCTCCGGAGGAGCCGGCGGCACGACGCCGCGTTTCAGTCTGACTCGTGCGAGCAGCCAGCGAGGAACCCAACCGCCCCGTTTGCCTCAGCAACGTCCAGAACTGAGTCACCG